TTTTGCCCGGACCCGAGAAATAGGAACATGTTGCTTAACTAGTCCTATGTAAGCAAAATAACTACCAAAAATAAGACTAGTATTTAAAAAAAACTATATTTTTTTTTAAATATTTTTTTAAGGATTTAAAATAGCTACAAAATATTAATAAAACTATTTTTGTAATTTTCGTAAATATTAAGATAAAATATGAAGTAATATTTTTGCATTTTTCAAAGTTAAAATGACTATAAAATGTTAATAAAACTATTTTTTTTGTAATTTTTGTTTTTTAATAAAGACAAAAATATGAAATAATATTTTTTTTGTATTAAAACGACTACAAAACATTAATAGAATTATATATATTTTTTGTAATTTTTGAATTTATATAAAGTACCAAAATAAAGTACAATTTTTTTTTGTATTTTCAAGTTTATGAGAAATACATAAACTAAAATTATATATATATTTTTTGTGATTTTTCTTTTTGCAACGAAATAAAGTAAAATAGTTAAAATGACTATATTGGACCCAATTTCACATATTCACGCTAAAAATATGAAAATTCTCGGGGAGGGTCAAAAATCACGTGCTTACAATAACTAATCTCTATATGATACAACTTTAGGAAAGTGTCGAACACTTTTTAGGTTTAGCAATCCTTTTTTATTAATAAAATGTGAAAGTTACGACCAAATTTTAGCACTCTCATAAAATAAATAACATGTGTGTAAAGAACTTTTAATTGTTTGTAATATATCATACACAAGTTTATAATAACTACTAATATACATGCAACGTACGTACCCACGTGTGTTTGTAAAGGTAAACGACCGTTTACCTTTCAATTAATTGTTTCTCCTATGATACTTTTGTATAATGAAGCAAATACCAGAACAAACGTAAGAAAAAATTACTAGAGATCCACCTCCTAAAATGATTAAAAGGATTATCATATTGGAACTTGAAATTTTTTATAGTTTTTATATCATAGCGCGAATATATTTTTGAACAGTACTTGTGTTATTTTTAAAAGTTTATTCTCCTTAATACGAGAGACACGTGCAACACGAGTACATTAAGTCTAGTTAAATAAACATAGAAGCATATACATTATATAATTGTTATACCTTTGTACAATTAAGTATTTCTAATTATATCTGCAAAATACTAGAATTATATCATAAATATTTGATGGTATCTTAATATGTATCTAATGTTTTTTTTACATATTCTGTAGATTGCAATTTGATAAGAGTCTGCTTCTATTATGAAATTTTAAAAATTTGCTGCTATGTTTTTTTTTTTTTTTTTTTTTTTTTTTTTTTTTTTTTTTTTGCTAATGAAAGGAGCTTTTATTGATAGCACAAACAGAAGTTATTACATGATGGTAATTGAACGTATAGTCCCAGTTCCATAGAGGTCTTCCTTTAGTTCATTAAGGATAAAGGGGGTGGGTATACAAAAACCATAATGTTTCTTCCCATTTATGGATCTCTGCCTTTCCCGTAGCAGGCCAGTTTATCAGCGACAGCATTTGCTTCTCGAAAGATGTGGCCCACCTGTGGGCTGCCCAGCTTCTCCAGTAGGTTCCTGCAATCCATTAACATGTGTGAGAAAGCTAGATTATTAGACGATAACAGTTGGCTCAGTACCTGTGAATTAATTTCCACAATAAGTGGAGCTAACTTGTGATTGAGTGCTAGCCTTAGACCATTGTAAAAGGCTAGTATTTCCATATGAGTGGAAGAGTGAGTGTAGTTGTAAATTGTATAACCAGTAATCCAATCACCATTATGGTTTCGGATAAGTCCACCACCCCCTCCCGCTTTACTGTTTTCATCATAAGCGTGGTCTGTATTAAGCTTGAAGAAACCATTTGGAGGTGGTTGCCATTGAATTGTTTTATTTTGATAAGAAACTTTTTTGTGATGGTTATGCACTAAGCGGAAGTACTCCATAGTTTGGAAAATGATGTCAGTATGTGTTACTGGATTAATGGAGTTCCAGAAAAGGGTTTGATTTCTATTTTTTCAGATAGCCCAAAGAATAATAGGAGTTAAGATGTGTAGTGGTACCTTTTTATCATTTGCAACTATCCAATTAGTTGTTGTTGTACAGAATGAGAGTATTGTAGGTTCCAGTTGGTTTGGAGGGATATATATGTTGAATAGATCCCATATTAATTTTGCTTTTGGGCATGTTATGAATATGTGGTCAGTTGTTTCGGTAGTGTTTGAACATGAAGCACAATTGTTTATTCTAAAAATATTATAGTGGAATAAGTTTTCAGCAGTTGATAATTTGTTATTAAAGAGTAGCCGCATAAAGAACTTTATTTTATTTAAAGCATGGGTTTTCCATACCCATTGGTGGGACGGAGAAAAAGGGAGGTGAATATTTTTTGAATCATGTAAGTACATGTGATATGCAAATTTTGTAGAGAATAAACCAGAGGTTGTATTTTTCGAAAAGAAGGAGTCATTTTTGGGTTCTCACTCTTTAATATAAATATTATTAATTTGGTGTATAATATTCATGGGAATTTTCATGGATAGGTCGGAAAGGTCCCACACATTATTGGGTAGGATAATATTTTGGACATTTTTTTTATATCTAGTTTTGTGAGAGGACCATGTATAATAGACCTTAAGGAGTCATTTGAGCCAACCCAATTATCTTCCCAGAGGCTAATACTGGAGCCGTTGTCAATATTCCAAGCAATTCATTTATTAAAAAATGAAATATTTTTTATAATGCTTTTCCAAATGTAGGAGTTGGATGGTTTAATTTTAAACTCATTTTGGGGATATCAATGTTGAAGTTTGGCAAAATGCCAAAGTCCCACATTGGTTGGGAGTTAAGTTTGGGGGGG